GGGGTGCTGTCCCCTCTGGCCTGGGACAGGCTGGGGGGGGACGGACTTGCTGTCCCCATAGTGTGCTGCCCCCTCTATCCTGGGACAACGTGGGGAGGGGGGACCTGCTGTCCCCGTAGGGTGCTGCCCCCTCTGCACTGGGACAGCCTGGGGAGGTGGGAGCCACTGTCCCCATCGGGTTCTTCCCCATCCATCTGTCCAGGAAAGGGAGACCCCCACCCTGGTGGGGTGCTGCCTTTCCCCAGCAGGTCCCGGGGGTGGCATCCCAGCTGGGATGGTCCTGGACCCGCTGTCCCAGTGGGATGCTGCTTGTCCCCTGTCCCCCCAGGTCCTGGGGGTGGCATCACACCCACTGTCCTGCTGGGGTGCTGCCCGTCCCCACCTGGGTCCCAGGATGGGGCAGGGAAGGGTGGCTCACCCCCAGTGGGATGCTGCTGCTGCTACTCACTCCTGGTCCTACTGAGTCCCGTGAAGAGCCCTCATTACCTGTGTTCTTTGCGTGCTTGTCAGCAGGCTCTTCAGGGCAGTTGATGGGCCTTGGGTACCAAATTGACACCCCATCTATCACTGCTGCCTCGCTAGGGCACTGGGATTTGACCTTGGGGATTGTGGAAATACTGACAAATTGGGTACGAGTGAATAGGACTTGAAGGGGGTTTTAGCTGAGCCATCGTTTCCCTAATTTAAAAAAAAGCTTTTTTTTTTTTTTTCTGCACAAATGGGAAGCGTGGAGTTTCCCCAGCCGCGTGTATTGCTGCGAGCCGTGGGGACAGTGCATGGGGACACCCTGCAGCTTCCACGGTGGGGAAGAAGGAACTGTCAATGGTCACTTTTTCCCAGGGGGGATGTGAATTCATGGCACAGAGGAGTGATGTTGACTCAATGGCTAGGTGAAGAAGTGTCTGTCTGTCCAAAAGTCAGCCCAGCCAAGCTCGATGACTTTATAGTTATCTGCTGTTGCTTTCATTTTCTCTTCTCTTTTCCTTCAAATGAACTCTGTTAGGTTTCTGTTTGAGCGTAAGCCAGAGCTGCCTGGAAAAGGGCTTTGTTCGGGAAACTTAGAGAAGTGCTGCGAAGTTTAGCTACAGCTCAGCTTGGATTGCAGTTCTGGGTAGCAAGAACATGAAAGGAAAGTTTGACCTAGTCAGAGTGGAAAGCGTGGTGGGAGGGTTGTGAAGATTTAATCAGAGCGTTGCAATAGCCTTCCTATGCAAATCGGTTAACCTGGCTCAGGTTACCCATTTCACAGCCTCGGAGCGTCGCTGTGTAAGGGTTTGTTTCTTCAGAGGGCAAAGTTAATAGCAAACAACAGCTCTGCTCCTTTCTGAAGCAGAATTTTCTGAGGCAAAATGAGCGCTAGACCTTGGGGATGTGATCGGGGAGGATGGAGCAGGTTATGCTGCCCGGAGAGCAGCACCAGAGGGAATGTCCCTGCTGTTAACCGGCTAGAGAAAATCCGGTTCCTGCTTACCGAATCTCAGCTCTTGGGCTGCTGTGATATTTATCTGCGTTCAGGATGAGGTGTAAACGCGACATACGTCACCCAGGCTGTCTGGATGGAAGGAGCCGGCCCCAGCACGGCCTGGAGGGTGTTGTCTCTTGGACAGTAACCCAGCCTGAGTCTGATCCGGATGGTGCTTTGGGAGGGTTTGGGCAGACCGGTGTCACACACAGCTCTTTGTGTGAGCAAAAGCCTCCTCCCTGCTTAACCTGCTCGCGAGGGGAGCCAGGCGACGGGCACGGGCATCCTCCTCTGGGCTGCCAGCAGAAGCCAGAAGCGACCCTGGGGCTGTTGGAGAGCAGGCAGTTCTCGCGGACCAGCGCTGCCGGTGTGTCTGTAGCGCCCCAACAAAGGCTGTTGGAACCAGCCCTCTGTCAGGGAGAGGAATTAATCACCCTATTCATTCCTCCCAGCGAGCTCGTGTCGCTGTGCTTATGTAAAATCAGGGTATGAATTATTTACAGCGGGCTTTCCCACCGTAGTAGTGCCGGTGTGCCGAGCCGGAGCGGGAGCGTAGGGCTGGGGCCGCGGCGATGCTCGGCGCTGGGTGTCACCCACCGCCGAAGTGACGGCAGCGAGGGGCTGCTGGGTGATGGCGGACAAAACGCTGGGCGTGTGGCACGCAGCATCCTGTGCCTTCCACGCGTACCGCAGTCTTTCGTAAATGAAAGAGCTTGGCTGTGCTGCCCGGGGAGGAGGAGGAGGAGGAGGACCGACACAACACCGGTGCGTGTTGCCATGGAAACACCGGTCAATTGATGCGCCATCAATCGCAATACAAATCATTTTCTATGTTTGCAGCCTTCCCCCCCCCCTCCCCTGCTACAATCAGGTGGCATCGCTGTCTAGTGTTTGTCACACTGCATCTCTCCTAGAAGCTCAGGAGAATAACAGCCTTTAAAGAAACGGAGCCGTGTAGGCTGAGCTCAGTGAATGAGGCTGGAGGCAACTGGTGAGGCTCTGACCCCCGCGGGGCGGCAGGAGGAGGGATGGAGGCGACTCCCGGCCATCCAAGGAGCGGGCTGGCAACAATGCCATGCGATTCCTCGGGTCTCGGGAAGACACTCGCTGTCGTTGCTGCGTGGGGAAAAGTCAGAGTTTCCCTTTTTGTCTGCTGGGGTTGAGCCTGGAAGCGGCTGTTTAACGCAGCGATGTGTCCGAGGTCAGGTGAAGAGGGGACATGCGTTGCCCATCTGGACACTGTCGTGGCTAATCCTAAGCACGTCGCTTCAACAGCTTCTTTCTAGTTGACCTTGTATTCGGAGATGTGTTATTTCTTTCCTTAACAGACAGTCATGCAGTTTCTTTCCCCACAGCTGTGGGCTTGTTCGTGATATTTGTCATTTCAGCTCTAGGAATAAAATATAAATGGTGATGGTTTTCATTTCTCGTAGGATTTGCTCCAGTGTCAAAAAAATACCCCAAACAAAAACCAAAAAACCAACCCCTACATCTCTAGTGAGGGGTTAATTTGGAGCAGGGGGTTGCTTAATATATTACACTGAGCTTTCCTAGCCTGCTGTTACGATTTGAAATAGCAGTGTGTCGTAACACAGCTGGTCGGATGACGCTTTTTGTCTTTTGCCAGGGGTAGGTCTTCGGCTGTGCCAAGTGGCAGGGTAAGGATGCTGAGCGGGATCTTCCCTAGGCAAGATGTGTAGGAATCAGTGTGGGTCACTCCCAAAACGCCGGGCCGTCTGTATCCCGTGTCTCCCCGAATATCGGCTTCACGTGCAGGAGCGCGCGGCCGTTGATGCACGAGGAGACCCTGTCGTCGTGCCTCTCGGCGCGGAGATGTTGTTTCTTTGGCGACTATGTCGTACCCTGGCAGGATGAAGTTGCTCAAACTCCCACGGGATATGAATCATTGTGGTATGACACATTCAGCGGTTCTCACGCTGCTGCCTCGGAGAAGAGGCAATACAACTTGAGCTACACAAGCTCTAAATATAAAACCTTAAATAGGAGTTATTCTTCTCTGACCACTAACAAAAATACTGAGGATGAACAACGAAAATAGCCTTTGCCGTAGTGGTGTCGCAGAAGCGGAAGGCACTTCTGGAACTGCTCAGTTCCACTGCCAGTGGAAACAACCTCAGCGTAGACGGCTGTAAGTCACCTTTCCTATAGCCGCGCTCGGTGGTGCTGCTTCGACTCGTGTGTACACAGCGCGCTTCCTTCTGGAAGCGTCACGCTACTGTCAGAAGAAGGGAGCTGGTTCAACCCGCCCTCCCTCTCTTGCTCATTCCGTTGGTTTTACTCCCGTTTTGGCTCACTCCGGAGGCAGAGCGTTGTTCTTCGCTACTCTTTAATAAGGAAATTCTGTGCAGGTCGATGAGAGCTTGCTTCTTGAGACAGCTACACGTGGTAACTCCTGGGTTTGCGCTTTTTTTAGAGTCATTCAGTTGATAGAAGTGCCCAGGACAACCTCAGCTTTCCTAAACTCCTCTGGGCCGTATTGCATCCAGCCATATCCCCGTCCTACGGAACCGGGGAGGGGTGTGGGGTGTGTGTTTAGCCTCAGGCGCCTGGAGAGAGCGGCGTGAGCCTGTCCGAGGAGCCTGAATCGGCAGGAACGGCGAGCTGTTAGCGGGGCACGCTGGGCAAGGCAAACCTGGTCTGTGTGAACTGCCAGCAGTCGTTGAGGAGAGAACTCCGTGTTGTAAGCTGTCTCTAGAAAAGGTATCTGCCCCAAGTCACCCAATTAGCCCTACTTAATTTCAGGCCCCGCAGCGCAAGCCACGGGGCTGGAGAGAGCGGGAGTTTGCCCAGCGCGCGGGCTGCCGTAGGGCCGGCGGTGGGAACGGCTGAGATGGGAGAGGTGGGCTGACCTGCACGCGTCCCTCGGCGGAGCCTGAGATCTCTCCTTGGCATCTCCATCTCTCCGTCACCCAGCTGCTCTGAGCAGAGCCGCTCAGGCGGCGACAGCCCCCCGCGCTCCCCCTGGGCAGGCTGAATTAAAAGGGTCACCGGACTGTCGCTTGATAACTATGTCTTTTACCAATTCCCCCGGTGTCTTCCTTCTTCTCCAGTTACGCGGTGATCGCCTACGGCTGTGCCAGCTGCCCCAAGCTGACCTGCGAGAGGGACGGCTGCCAGACGGAGTTCTGCTATCACTGCAAACAGATATGGCATCCCAACCAAACCTGCGACATGGCGCGCCAGCAGCGGGCACAGGCGCTCCGAGTACGGACCAAGCACACGTTCTCATACTTGATTACTATGGAATTATAGGTAGATGGGGTTGGGTTTGGTTTTTTGGTGTTTTGATTTTTTTTTGCTATGGTTGTGAAGCTGAGAAAGAGCCACCCGTGTGCCCGAGCCCGTCCCGTCAGGGCAGGGGGGTGTCAGTGCCCTGCGTGGCACAGCTGAGGGTCTCCAGCAGCCACGGGTGAGGACGGCTGTGAAACTCAGAGTCAGTTCCCCTTCTCGCGTGTGTTAGGACAAATCCGGCGGGCTCCTCAAAGAACGCAAACCAAATCAGTAGGTGACAATGTGCTTTGGGTCCTTCCACGTCACGGCAGCTCCCCTCATCCGCCCCAGCGAGGCTTGTGGCTCTTTTGATCTTGGATGTTCTCGCTTCTTGCTGCTCTAAACCCCGAACGGATAGGCGTTTTTTTTACCCTTGCAGCTTCAAATTTGCCTGCTGCGGTAGTGAAGAGCAGCGTTCATGCCTAGCTGAGTGCGGGGAGCCTCGCTCCGTGCGCTGTTAGGCGTTAGTAATGTCAGGTAGAGAAAAAAATGCCAACCCACAGACTCCTACGCTGCCCGGTAGGAGCTGCTGTGTCTACTGAGTTAGCGTTTGTTAAAAATAACTGTATTGACTCTGGAAGTGGGCAGTAGTGCCATTTCATAAAGTCCAGCCCTACCCCCCAAAAAAAACACCCTGCTTTTTCCTTCTGTGTCGGGAGCGAAAACGTTAATACGCTTCACTTAGGATGGAGCTGTCGTGGGTGGTTCAGAGGTGGCTTCGTGGTATGACGAGGTTCAACGTGCCTCAGTTAGAGGTCGCTGATAATGGACAGCACAGACACTACCACAGCCTGCGGTAGGAACCGGCGAGCAAAAAATAGTTGCTGAGTTTTTACACCCTTTTAAAAGGAGATCCCTGCCAGGAAGAGTTCAGCACTTCGCCACTGAAAGGGAGATTCTTGGGACAGTGGTTTTTCCCCACCCCGTTCTTGCTGGATTCCATGTAGTGATTAATAAGGTGCGAGCTGGTCTCGGCAGCTGGGTTTCATATTGTCGAGCGTTGCAGAGGCTGCCAGCAAAGCCCCGAACCTCTGCGCAGCCCTTGCGTAACTGCGATCAGATGATGCTTCAATTAAGGAAGAGATGAAGGACCATTATTCTGAGGTCTGGGGACCGGACAGCCTCCGCACCGGACTCTCGTCTGCGCCTCCAGACCCCATTCCCCTTTTGGCTGCTTTTGAAGACCAGGTTTGGAGCATCTCCGATGCCGCCTTCACCCAATTGTTCTGTGTTCTTGGCCCGTGAATCACCTCCGTGGAGCAATTTAGTAATGGGTCGTTCTTAGGCTGTTGCCTTGGCTAGCACAGGGCAGGTATGACTTGTTCCCAGCGTTTAAGCATATTCTGGAATACATCCCATTCCCGGCCAGAATAAGCTTTTTAAGTGACTGCAGTTCTCAGTCCCTGCTGTCCAGGCGAACGGCTTTGGTGGGATCTCTCTCATCAATGTTATCTTCTCGCTCGGAAGATAAACTAAAGGCACAACCATCCCCGCTTTAGCTGTGAGGAGCGAAGGTGTTCTGCCCGCGCGGAAAACGAGGGGTTTCGGTCCGTAACGAGATCCCCCTCGTTGATTCTTTGTACTCGCAGCAGAGTCCCAACTCAATCCCGTGCTTCCTCCCTGTAGCTGATGACATCAAGCCGTGCCCGCGCTGCAGCGCTTACATCATCAAGATGAACGACGGGAGCTGTAACCACATGACCTGCGCGGTGTGCGGCTGCGAGTTCTGCTGGCTGTGCATGAAGGAGATCTCGGATCTGCATTACCTCAGGTGAGGAGGGGAAGAGCCCGCCGGGCTTCCAGCGGGCGCTCCTCTGAGCCTGGCTGGAGGAACTCCGTTGGCCTTTCATCCTCCTGCCTCGCCAAGAAGTCGGGAAAATTTTCGGCTTTCTGACCCAAAGAGCTGAGCTTTCTCCCCACATCGCAGTAGGAGGATGCTCCTCCGCACCAAGAAAAGCTCCTCCTGATACAATTGCATTTGAGAGCGCTTTGCGTACTGGATATTAAACATAGTCCCAGTAGTGTGATAATCACCTTGATGAGTAAATTAATTTTGATGATGGGGGAAAAAAGAGGGAAACCTCTTTTGCGTTGTCTATCCACTTCCTAAGTTTTGGGTTTTGTTCACGTGGAAGTTGAACTTGGGATTCTCACTTGGAAATTGCTGTGGTGTTAATGTCTTTTTTTTATTTTTTTTCTTTTTTTTCTTTTTTTCCCCTTCCATTAAGCCCCTCTGGCTGTACATTCTGGGGCAAAAAGCCATGGAGTCGTAAAAAGAAGATTCTCTGGCAGCTGGGCACGTTGATCGGTGCTCCTGTAGGCATCTCCCTCATCGCTGGCATTGCCATTCCCATCGGCATCCCCGTATATGTCGGGAGGAAGGTGAGTGTGGAGAGCGGAAGGCTGGAGCTGAAGGGTTTGGGGCGTTCTCTGTACTCAAGGCATTTGACCAGAAATGTAGAGCTGATACGAAGGGTGGATCTTGTTATAGAACCACAATTCAGTTGTCTCTTCTAAACTTTGTCTTATCTTTTGGGCTTTGTGTGGGGGGAGGGAAGGTGGTGGCTGAGTGCCATTCAGGCTGAAGTCCTCCCAAATGTGTTTTGCATTGCTCTTCTGCCTCTGCCTTGACCCAGGAGCACCCAAGGAGAGCCCTGGTCCCTTTTTAACACGTCCTGTGATGATGGGCTCGGTGGGACAGCGGCCAGACCCTGAGCTTTGGCTTGCATAAGTCACTTATGTTTTGATGCTGACCTGCTGCCCCAAACCGCCCGATGCTGTTGTGTGTCTGTGCTGATAAAGCGGCGCCGAGAGGGAAGAAATGGCACGTCAGCACTGTACGTGCTGCTGCTTTTTCATAAACACAGACCCACCTGCTAGATCTGATCTGTGAGGAGATCTGTGGTCAAGTTGAGGTTCTCTATGGGCTAATGTAGCTGACAAGGCTGTAAAGACATAAGCATTATTAATGTCTTCTGCTGGTGTTTGCTCACGGCCGGGCTCCCTTCTCACCTGGTGCTTCTCCTTCCATCAGATCCACAGCAGGTACGAGGGAAAGAAAACCTCTAAGCACAAGAGGAACTTGGCCATTACTGGTGGGGTCACCTTGTCTGTCATTGCCTCTCCAGTTATCGCTGCTGTCAGTGTTGGTAAGTGGGCACAGTCCCTTTCCCTTCTGGTGGGCCAGTAGTCACTGAGACAGATGGGTAGCCCAACCGTGTGAGGTGGGGGGGTGGCCAAAGGGCAGTTTGCAGAGTGCTGCTGTGTGCTGGTTTGGTGGCTGATGTCTTCAGGGGGTTCAGCTGAGGCTGTCTATGCTCTTGGTGTTCCCTTGTTCTGCAATGTGCCCTGGTGGCCTCGCTTCTTCCCAGAGGATTTTTTTGAAGAAGTAGTTGTGCAAGTGCTCCTGCTTCTCCTCCCGACCTACCAGGGTGGAGGAGAGTTTTAGAGACTTCTTGAGATTAAACTTGTGGTGCTTCCTCATCAAGTCTCTCATTTATCTTCAAAAGGTGCTAAAATTCAGATAGTGTAAAGATACATATACTAGATAAAGGGCAGGTGGCAAGAGGATGGTGCCAGACTCTGTTCAGTGGTGCCCAGCAACAGGACAAGGAGCAATGGGCACAAACTGGAACACGGGATATTCCATCTCAACATGAGGAAAAACTTCTCTGCTGTGAGGGCGGCAGAGCAGTGGCACAGGCTGCCCAGAGAGGTGGGGGAGTCTCCCCCTCTGGAGCCATCCCAAACCCGCCTGGACGCCGTCCTGTGCCACTGCTGGAGGTGCCCCTGCTCTGGTGGGGGGTGGCACTGGGGGAGCTCCAGAGGGCCCTTCCGACCCCCACCAGTCTGGGATTCTGTGCACTGCAGCAGCACGAGTGAAGGGTTCCTCCGCTGTCTCTCTGCAAGGTTGTGAACGAGACTCTTTCTGCGTTAAAAGCAGTGTAAAGACATCCAAGAGAGTCCCCACCCCAAAGAGTCCTTCTGTCTGCCCAACACAGCTCAGCCTTAACCTCCCCTTAACTCAGCGCGTCCCACCCTCCAGGTATTGGAGTCCCCATCATGCTGGCTTACGTCTACGGTGTTGTGCCCATCTCGCTGTGCCGAGGCGGTGGCTGTGGCGTTAGCACCGCCAACGGAAAGGGTGTGAAAATCGAGTTTGATGAAGACGATGGACCAATCACAGGTACTGAGTGATAACTGGGGAAGGGAAGGGGGTGAAGTGAGACCCTGTAATGAAAGGGTGAGGGGTCGTCATGTTTCCCAAATCCGAACATCTCTCTTTACCTGGGTTTGGCTAGAAGCAGTTATTTGCTTCAATCTTCTGCTGGTCATCAGCTGTGAGCGAAATCTCAGCTCTTCATTGCCCCGGATGCGGCAGGGAGGCAGCCCGAGGCACACGCTGCCTGCTCTCTGCCCCCCCAGCTCTGCCAACTCCGTCACAGCCAGACGGTTCCCTTGCTGATCCCGAGTCCTGGGCCGGTTTTTTTTCCCCGCAGTGGCTGATGCCTGGCGAGCCCTGAAGAACCCCAGCATTGGCGAAAGCAGCATTGAGGGGCTGACCAGTGTGCTGAGCACCAGCAGCAGCCCCACCGCCGGGCTCAGCGTGATGCAGGGCAACTACAGCGAGACGGCCAGCTTCGCCGCCCTCTCAGGCGGCACCCTGAGCGGTGGGGTCCTCTCGGGAGGCAAGGGGAAGTACAGCAGGTAACTGAACTGGTGGGCCCAGCAAGAACCGGGTGGAGGCTCCCAAGGCCTGTGCTGGTTGAGCAGGGTTATTTTGGGGAGGTCTCCGGGACTGCGAGCGATCCTTCTTCGGCTTGGGAGTCGTGTCCTAGTATTCTTACTTCTTGATCTGTTGTAGAATAACTAGTCCCAGCAGACCAGGCTACTCCTGGAGTTGGCGCTGGGCTGGTTCTTGCAAGGAGGACAATAGATAAGTTTCTGTCCCTGCTGAGCTGCTTGAAACGGCAGAGCTGATGCTTCAGGTTAATTGGGAACAGGGCAGAGATGCCTGCGTGGCCTGCTTAAAGATCTTCCAGTCCTCTTATCCCAGCCTACGGGTTGTGATGGTTCCTGTTCCCTAGTGGCCCGTAGCAAGCGGGGTCACTGTCTTCCGAGTCAGGAGGTAACACCGCGGTTTTCCTCTAAACTTGCCTGTGAGTCAGTTTGCTGGGTAATTAGAGACACGTGTTGATACGGCAGCCAGGATATAATCATGGCTGTGTGCTAGATCTGTGGAAATCTGTTCTTCGCAGGAATTGCGTGAGTCATAGGTATAAACACAACTTTACCTTCGTCATGGAAAACAGAATGGGTTTACCTAAATGGAGCCAAAAATGAGACTAAATGAGAGGAACCATTAGGGTTAAACTCTGTCACGCCGAGCTGGGCCAGAGCAGAGGGCCTCTTGCTTTCCCATAAAGAACAGTGCCTGGTTGGTGCCCCTCGGGGACCATCTAAGACGTTTCTGAGGAATCCTCCTCTCTTCCACAGGCTGGAGGTCCAGGCAGATGTCCAGAAGGAGATTTTCCCCAAAGACTCAGTCAGCCTGGGGGCTATCAGCGACAACGCCAGCACTCGAGCCATGGCTGGTTCCATCATCAGCTCCTACAACCCCCAGGACAGGTAGGAGGACGCGCGATGGTGAGAAAAGTGTTGGTAGTGGGTGTCCTGGAAAAATCTGTGCTCTGCGAGGTGCTGCTGTGGGTGGTGAGATGACTGCAGTTGCACCAGCCTGCTCTTCTGGAGCTGGCAAGCGGATTGATCCTTCTACTCCTACAAAAGGAGGACTGGGGGCAATTTGGGAGAAGCCTCCACGGGTAATGTGGAGGCTGAGGAGGGGTTCTGCAGCCCAGGACCCTCAAGGTTTGTTCCTGGTCACTCGCGGGGACTCTGGTGCTTTCCCGGGCCGGTTCCCGGCTCACAGCCTGGGGATGATCTTGGCTGCTGTTAGGAGGGCTCGAGGAGAGCAGCGAGTGGGGGTGTTTCTCGGACGCCGTGGGGTGATGAGCAGCATCTTGCTCATGTCTGGGAAATGTCATCTTCCCAGTACAGTGATGCAGTGCCCGGTGGTGACCCAGTTGAAGCCGGTAACTGTACCCAGTAATGCAACGGTGCTTGTTTCTGCAGGGAGTGCAATAACATGGAGATCCAGGTGGACATCGAAGCCAAACCAAGTCACTACCAGCTGGCCAGCGGCAGCAGTACAGAGGACTCACTGCACGTCCACACCCAAATGGCAGAGAACGAGGAAGAGGAGGAGGAGGAGGAGGGAGAGGAGGAGGACGGTGAGCAGGAGCAGACGTGCAAACACCAAAGCTGTGAGCAAAAGGACTGCATTGCCAGCAAAACCTGGGACATCACCCTGGCCCAGCCGGAGAGCATACGGAGCGACCTGGAGAGCTCCGACAGTCAGTCGGACGACGTGCCAGACATTACCTCGGACGAATGCGACTCCCCCCACTCTCAGACTGCGGCAGCCTGCCCACAGACCCCCAAAGCTAGAGGTGCCGAGAGCCCAAGTGCCCACCTGAGCCACTGTGCCCAAGCCGAGGGCTGCAGGCTGGATGAAATAGTCAAACTGGAGTGCATCGAAGCCAGAGTATGAAGCGGCCTCCTGCTGTGAAAAGCACACTCGCTGTCATTTTGCATCTTTTGGGGCAGGGTTGTGTCCGTGTTGGGTTCTGTTTGCCATTCGCCAGCCGGCTCCCCAGCCTCGCCCCGGGGAGTCGCTGTTTCTTACGTGACAAAAAAGAAAAAGGAGGAAAAAAGAAAAAAAAAAAAAAGATAATAAAAATCCCCCGCCCTCTTTTTGTTTTAATTTATTGGTTCAAGCTCTGTGAGGTGTGTAAGAGTGTAAATATGTACGTGTGTCTGTATGTCTGCAAACATCCTAAGGGACTATTTGAATAAAGACTCTGGTTGTCATTTGGCTCGCATCCGGCTCATCCTTGCCACAGATGTACGTTGAAATCCTCTGGCCGCCTTTGCTCAAGCGTTCGTAAGCACTGCCCTAGCCCGAGGCACGGGGGAAACGGGGACATCTCCTCTTCTGCCTCTGGGGAGTGGGGTGTGACAGCCTTGTCCCCTCTGCAGCGGTGATGGGGACGGTGCATGTGTCACGCAGGGCTGCAGCGGACCCCTTTTGTCCTGAAGCAGGGCTGGGTCTCCCTTCTCCCCCCTCCCAGGTACAGGTTAAGAGAGGAAAAGGATGGGAAGTAACGCTATGCTGAGCCAGATCCCCAGCGCTGCTGGATGCGAGGGACCCGAGGTGGCCGAGGGCTGTGCTGGGGGCTCAGACGGGATATTAGGGACAAGCGTCTTTCCCCAAACCGGTCCCAGGAGCCAGGGCTGCGTTGCTGTCCCTGTAGTTAAATTGTCGGTGCCTCCTGTCTGCGATAAGCTTTGCGGAGAGCATTGCTTAGCAAGGATGTCCTGTGAGCGAGGGAGGGCTGCCCAAAGCGCTGCTCTTCCCGCAGCCGCCTCGGCAAGCCGTTGTCCCCGGTCCCTCTTCGCTGGGTCTCTTGCTGTCAGTAACATCCCCAGAAGCTTCATTTGGGCGTTTGCCACCCAACTGGCTCTTCTGAGTCACCTTCAGGGAAGCTGGCAACAGCGCTGATCCCTCTGCTTTTCCCTCTCTCCGCAGGTCGATCCCCGGTACCCGACGGTGCTGGTCTCTGCCCCGTGCTCCGGCAGCATCCCACCCCGAGGGGCTGCCCCTTCCCAGACCCTCAGCCCGCGAGACTCGGACCTGTCTGGCCGGATCCCAACTTGCCACCCTCGCTTTAGGGTGGACCACCCTGAGCGTGCCAGGGAGGTGGAGATGGTGGGGATGGATGGGGAAGGGGATGAGGCAGCGTGGCATGGTGTATGGGCACGGCATGGCACGGCGTTCCCCGGCATGGCTGCCAGCGCGGCAGCACGGGCAGCGCAGGGGTGGGGACGGGGCTGTGCTTCCCCTCGGCGGAGGCAGGCAAAGGTGGAGTTATCCCTTTATTCGTCCTGGGGAGCTGGTCCGACAGGAACTGGAGTGGCAGTGGGGTGCAGCAGGTGAGCTTCTCCGGTGGCCTTGTCCTGGTCTCGGTCCCAGCCTTGGTCCTGCCTGACCATGTGAGAACCCTGATGGATCCGGCTGCCAACCCCGGGGCTAAGGGCAGAGCTGGCCCCCGGGGCATCGAGGGGCTCTGATGGCCTGATCCCGGCTCGGTGAAGATGTGTCAAGTGGGTGAGTTCGGGTCTGGCGTGGTGATCGCGATGGGAGGGTGCCCCAGCCCTGCCTGTGGCTCCAGCACTGCCCTCCCGCAGGGAAACTGAGGCAGGGAGGGAGGGGAGCCGAGGGACAGGGATGGAGCCGGGCTCAGCACCCGGGTGGTGGCAGGAGAGTGGCCCCAGGGTGGGTCCCGACAGGGAAACAGCTCCGCTGCTGCTGCGGTCACTCCTCAAAGCGCCGGGTGCCGAAAGGTAGCCCTGGAGCTGTCGTTTATGGGGAGCTGCTCTCCCCAGAGCATCCTCCTCGCTCTGGGGAGCCCAGTCCTTCCCAGCCCCACTGGGGACGCCTGTCCCCATGGCCGCTGGGCCCCACACTGCTGCCCTGGTCCCAGGAGAGCCGGCTGGAGCAGTGGTTTGCATACTTGGGCTGCCGGTGGCTACCACCAAGTCACCTTCTGCCTCGTGCCCCGCCAGCATGGGGCACGTCCTCTGGGGCTGTCCCCAAATGCCCCCTGACTGTGCTGAGCATGGTGCAAGGGCGGGAGGGACGGTTTGGTGCCACCACCCCACACGATGCAGCCTCCTTGCCCAGAGCCCCTCTCCCTTCTGTTTCAGGTCACCTTGATCCCAGCAGCCACCAAAGGGTCCTCATGAAAACGGGCCTCATCCTCCTCATCATTGGGCACCTCAACTTCATCACGGGCTCCCTCGTCCATGGTACCATCCTCCGCTTCGTGGTCAACCCCCAGGATGCCATCTCCCTGCAGTACGCTGTCGCCAACACCGCCTCCGTCATCTCTGCGCTGCTGGTACCGCGGGCTGCAGGGTAGGGAGGGACGGGGGTGCGTGGGGTGCATCTGGGGTGGGTGCAGATGTACGCAGGGTGGGCAGGAGGCGGGATGCAGGATGGATGCGGTGGGGATGCAGGGTGGGCAGGAGGTGGGATGCAGGAGGATGCGGGAGGGATGTAGTGGGGATGCAGGGTGGGCAGGAGGTGGGATGCAGGAGGATGCGGGAGGGATGTGGTGTGGATGCAGGGTGGGCAGGAGGTGGGATGCAGGAGGATGTGGGAGGGATGTGCTGTGGATGCAGGGTGGGCAGGAGGTGGGATGCAGGAGGATGCAGGATGGACACTGCTCCGTCTCCTCTTCCCTGCTCTAAATAAGCCTTTCTAGCGCAAAACCAAGAGGTTAAATTCACAGGGACTTGTTACTGGGTGGAGGTTGGGGGGGATGAAGTACTGCCCCCCGTGATGCTGAATTGGCCAGATGGGCTTTCAGGGACGAAGTCAACAGGGAAAGGGGACTGATGCCCCTGGGGCGGACGGGCGCCATGCATCGCTGACCTCCCCGCGCTTCCTTGCAGACCATCTCCTGTGGAATATCTGCCCTCATGCTGTCCCGCTACCTTGCCCCCGCTGCCCTCGTAAGCACCCCTGGCCCTGCCGCCCCTCGCCCAGGACCCACGCCATGGAGCGTGCCCAGCCACCACGTCCCCTCGCTTGGGGACTGTCTCCCGGGGAGGGAGCCTGGACAAGCAGCCGTGCACGGCCCTGGCTCACCGTGCCGCCTCTTCTCTCTCCTGCTGCAGAAATGGGTGGTTTTCGCCCTGAGCATCAGCAGCAGCCTGGGCTGCCTGTCCTGCCTGCTGGGGCTGGCCGTCTCCATCGGGCTGACGCTGGGCACCCAGGGCCGGGTGCTGCTGGCCCCCTGCACCGTCCGCAATATTGCCCTCGCCCCGGTCTCCCGCCAGTGCCCCTTCGATCCCACCCGCGTCTACGTGAGTCCCCGGTGGGCTGTGGGCTGAGGACGCCTGCACTGGGGTTGGGGGGGATGTGTGGGGACACGACGCGCCATGTCCCCGCAGAGCTCCACGCTGTCCCTCTGGGCCATCTCCCTCCTGCTCGACTCGATGGGGATTGTCTTCGGCATCCGCTGCCTCCTGCTCACTCTCGACCTTCTCCACCTCAACTGCTGTTGCCACAGGATGCACCGGAGGAAGGTGACTCCTGGTCCCGGGGCTCAGCACCGACCCGCTCCCGTGCAGGGTTGGGATGGACCCATCTGGGCTCGGGGGCTCTGGGACAGGGGTAGGACTGGCTGATCCCCAAAGCTTGTGCCCCCCCCACCCTGTCCCGGTCCCACGCTCAGCAGCTCTCTGGCTTGCAGGTCTCCTTGCAGGAAGCCCCTGCGGAGAGCCCTCACCCCGGGCAGTGCCTGGGCTTGCTGAGGTTGGACAGCGTGGAAACCGCCCGCCTCTGAGCAGGGACCGAGGGCCGACCCCATGGATGTGCCGCCGGCCAGCCATGCCCTGTCCCAGCATCTGCACAGCCCCACGACGGGACCTGGTTGCCCCCCAACCTGGCTACCGGGCGCACATGTCCCCAGGATGCCACCAGCCCAGACCCATGAGCCCATCGCCATGGCCTCGGGTCACCTGGGGCTGCAGCGAGGGAGGTGACCCGGCTGGATCTGGACTTTGCAGGGAGGAACTTCCCCCTCGGCGCCGACGGTCCCTTTCCCACCGCTGACTGCACTGACACAAACTTTATTTTGCAGGTATTAAAAGACCAGAAGCGTGTCCCCTCCCCGCGGCCCCCACCCCTGCGCCGGCCGTGGGGCTGTGGGGA